GCACTCACCACCACAAAGACACATCCTTGCTGCGGTCCCAGGTCACGGAAGAGCTCGGGGGAGGCGAACCAATGTCTGCCACTACACGGGTGAACAACGCTGCCTCCTCCACCCTCACCACTGAGTAGTTCATCCCAACGGGGTCATTCAGCCCGTCGGAATGCCATCGAGTACGCCAGCCAAAGAACATGCTATTCCTGAAAATTTGAGAAAAAATTGTGAGTTTGTTTTTAGTAAGTGTTAGGAAAGTTTGAGTCTGTTTTGTTTTAGTAAGCATTTTACAGCACTTGCAACACAATAAAGTCATACAAGTGTAGAAGATTAGACCAGTTGTTACAAGAGAGTAACATACACAAAAAAGGAGGAGAGATAAGAATGAAAATTGTTTAATAGGAAAGAAGGAGCAGACCACAACAGAGCACCCGCCAACCACCTGCAAAGTTTGAGTCCCCCCTCCCCTCTTAGGGCAGTGCTAATGACTGAAGTGTCTTTAGGCCATTCCCTAAGGAAGGAAATTAACGTGTTCATATGCACAGTGGAATTGTAAATGGGCTGATTTATCAATGTCATGCTCATACTGTGCCGGAGCAACATAGGGGGGACAGCTGCTTTTACTTTCCTCATCCTTACTATTGTCATTTTTCCTTACTTCTTTTGCATGTTTGTCACCCTCTTGTGAACTGCTATTTCCGAGGTGCCTTGGGTCAACTGGCATCAAAACCAGCAGTTCACTAACTACCTACCCTGAAGACGCCCTGGAATTCTTCGGGTGCGGAACCATTTGGTACCGGCCGGTCAGCTCAGGCGGTCTGGTCAAGAGAAGGCCTGACTCTGTGATCCTGGAGACAAGGGTAATGTTTTATTAAGAGGTTTACAGCACTTGCAACATAAATAGGTTATATAAGTGCTGAAGATTAGAGGTGTTACTAGAGCATAACATACAAAGAAGAGAAGGAGAAACGATAAAGATGATAAACATTTGAAAGGAAAAAAAAAGCAGCCACATGTGTGCAGACACAGACACACAAAACAAAAGTCGATAAATCATGGTGAACAGAAGTATGCAAATTTCAAATGAAAATGAAGTTTGGCAACTGAGATCAACAATATCAGAAGCAAAAGCAACAACAAAAATGTCTAAAATAAAGAGCAAACAAAAAAAAAAGGTAAAGTGCCAAAGATTGAAAGAAATAATTTTTAAAATTTCATAAATAGCATCTCCGATACAGTAATTAGAGTTTTCAGTTGGTTTCAACCAACAAATACAATACTTCAGAAAAAGACAAATCTATTGAAGTTCCTAAAGTTTTTCATAGCCAAAAACATAACCCTATAATTAAAAGTAATGAGTGAGAGTTGTTGTTGTATAAATCGATCCCGCAACAACTGGGCCCTTCTTGCCCGTCTGTCCAATGCCATATAGTGATAAGTGCAAGGTTGCTGCAGTTGCTGTAATGTTCCGTAGAGTGTGTTGTCAATGTTAGGTCTCGGGGGTGAAGTGTAGCTCTGATGTCTTTAAGGGCTGTGCAGTAAGTGAGAGTGAAAATGAAGAGTTGAATGCAATAAGTACCACGCCTTTATACCAAACTGACCTGGCAGAAAAATCGTCGTCTTCATTTCCCCATCCCCAGTAGCCATTTGCGTAACCGTTGATGTCCTTGAAATTCTTCACGCTGATGGCAACCACACCTCCGGCATAATTGTAGTACTTCAAACTGGGGACACGGAAAGAGAAAATAAACTTATCATCATTCAATGCAGCAAAACCTTTTTTGATTTTAACCAAAATCAAGAAACTTAAAAAAGCTACCACTGCTACAAGTGTATGAAGAGTTTCAGGGCAAAATAAGACATATCCAATACGACATTTTGAGGGAAAAATATATCTTCTCCGTTTACTTTTTCGTATTTTAAAGACTCTGATTACCACACTTAGGATCTGTCTATTTGATGTGTTTAGAGAAGAGTATTTCCAGTCGTGAGGTAAAATATCTTGGTGTCAGTTGAGACTTTTTTCCCCTGATAAACCCCTTCGTGACATCAGTTTTTTTCAACTTCTACTGTGAGTAATTTTTGCAAACCAAGACGTTGAAAAGTTTCAGTCATTTTGTGGTCCCTTTCAAAATTTAAGATCTCTATATGATTCGTACACTTTCTTTATTGAAGATTTTGAATCTTTCAATAGTTTTCCAGGAAAATTCAATTCAAAGTTTTTGTAGAACATTTATAAAATCATGTATGGTGCATTTTAAGATATGCATTGTAGTTGACTAACGATGTTGGATGTACAGTGAACAGGATCTGTTACGAATGGGTTAAAAGAATACTGTGTTAAAATTTTGAAATTTCATGTATGTCACATCTAGCCCTGAAACTGCCTGTATATTCATATATTAACTCAGAAAATTTCAAGCACTGAAAACATTTAATAAACTCATCATCAACACAGAAATATCTCCGGCACTCACTGATAGCGAAGATCGTCAGTAGCAGTCTCTAAATGGCGGCCATGTTCATCGCACAGGTACAGGTTCCGGTCATCCTCGGGCAGAAGATCAACGTCGTGGAACACCAGGCAGTCAAAGTTGTCCAGTTTCATCGCTTCCAGGAAGCCCATGTTGAACAGTTTGCCACGGTTAAACTGGCCAGTCCCTGCCTATGGAGTGTCCATATCACACGGGGTTGGAGTTTGTTTCAGTGGAAAAAAGTACACCGCCACAATAACATTCATAGAATGCTTGGAGAGAAAAAGTAAGAAAGACAGATGGAAACAACAAAGGGAAAGAAAAGAAAAATGACATATAATAGATGATACCTTCCAACCACCCGCACTGAAAAAGTCAACGGCCTTTAGCTATGATGGAGGTTGGAAATCGATAACAGTTTAACAGTATCTTGACAGCGAAAATAATGGACAATGACTTTTTGTTGACAAAGAGGAAGCTTACACACATTTTAAAAGAGGGTGTTTGAGTTTGTTAGTTTGAGTAAAGAGAAGCACTTCAATTCGAAAGTGGTCATTTTGTGCAGGGAAGCAGCAAGACAGACAGAAACAAAGATAGGAGAGAAAAAACATGTTAATCAAGCAGGACCTCCACCCACCCATTAAGACAGAAGGGACATATACCATAAATACACAAAACAGGTAACAGTCCTTCGCTATGACTGAAGTAGAAAACCAAGGAATTCCTGACAGCCTTTATAATGGATGACGATATTTTCTGGACAAAGTAGGAATCTGCACAGTTCTCAAACGGGTTAATACCTTTCTTCAAGAACAACGAACATCCAAGGTAAGAACAACTGGATGGTAGGGAACAAGATGAAGATGTTGTTACGTCAACTGATGCACATTAATCTAAACTCATGAACAACAAATGCAGGCTTGCCAATTTTTTAAAAACCCAGTCAGGCACATCCAATTATACAATATCACATTACGTTAACAACAAACAAAATTTACATCAAGCAGGACTGGTTTTGGTGTTGTGAAGTAAACGTCCTCTCAAATTCCCAGACTGCCTAATCCTGACAGTCCCAGAAAATACAGGACAGTTGGCAAACCTGCACCTCTCTCAGGGCACAAAGTTACTGGTTGAAGCAAGAGTTAGTCTTGCAACCTTGTTATATTTGCTTACAATATCCAGAAAAATTACGTTAACAATTTATTATCCAAACAAAGGGCAAATTTATTAGCAATAGGCTCACATCATACAGGCCTACTTCAAAAGACTGCGAGGTAAGTCAGAGTTTAATTCCATTTTTTTAAAAAATCAATGTGAATCAAAAGACATCATAGGCCTACAATGCAAATTTAAACAGACAACAGTCACTGCAATAAATTTACCTGCTCTGCCAAAATTATACGATAATGTATTTTTTGCGCTTGCAGCATACGGTGAATTCTGCGTAAGAAGATGAGGAGCGAGTTCACTCGGTCCCTGTACGGAATGATGATGGCAACACGTTGCCAGGGCTGACAATTTGTTGGGGCCCACGCGCCTCCTTTCTTCACAGCCGGATTTTCCGACTGTATCAGTTCCTCCGTCGGCACAAAGGACTTGTGCACCTCACGGACACCTGTCAGTGGGAAAGACGAAAACGACAAGGAGTTCAAACTCTGTTTCTCCTTCCCACAACTTTTCTGCACAATTTACACTTTTTCAACACTTGGCTCTGTAGGTTGACAAACCTTATTAGGCAGTTATGAGCTACAAACAGTACATATATACATAAAATATAATCTACAAAGTTCTGTAAAATAAACATAGAATGTTATCTACTAAATTCTGTGCAATATACTTTCTAAAATTTTAAAAACAGCATAAAAAAGCAAGGATTACACTACAACTCCTCTCTCTAGAAACATCTATCAGGCTAGTACTTAACAAAGCAGGAGGACATGCAGAACACCCTGTAATGAAATAAAAAACTTTTTTTCAACTTACCGAGAGAATCCCAGTCCAGTTGACATTTGCCCTCTGCTGGGCCCTTCATGAGAGTTTTTGGTGAGGTCACAGCACAGTGACTGCAAGAGTTGAACATGGCAAATGCTATCAGGCCAATGTAAACTGCCACGGCAAGCTGAACTGCCACGTACTTGATACGTATTCCGCGCATGACTGCACTCAAATTGTAGGAGAGGAGCTCTCACAGTTTCTGAAATGTCAATTATGTAATCACCATTTATTGTTATGCAGTAAGGAAATAGAGAACAATGCCGTCATTGCTTTTTTTCACAGGTCAGTGGGATGTGTGCCACCAAATTTCATCTGGTGTAGATCATGAAGTTTTGAAACAGAGGAGAGAAACAATACATCAGATAGAGATAAATTCTAACATTTCTCTAAGGAATGTGACATTTTCAGTTTCAGCCGTAAGAAAACAAATAAAAGAGCAATTCTTTTGCAGGAGGATACAATGTTCAAAGTTATCTCCCTGTCTTTATTTCTATTAAGTTTGCCCACATAAAAAGGAGCTCAGAACAAAGTGTTTAAAGCAAGAAAAACATATGAGCATATTAAATAAAATTATAAATTAATTAACCCCTTTCATTGCAACAGTGCCATTTTACTTTTGACTACTTTAACAGCAGACTCTCGTACACAAAAAGGAAGTTCATTGAGAGCAGAAAGGAGTACACAATATGGTATAATACAGGCCACAAACAGTAATTATAGGGGTGTGAGGAGTGGACTGAATGTGAACCAAAATCTAAAGGCTGGCGTTATTCTCTTAATATCCATTTTATTCTCACCCGGTCTGAGAATACAACATAGATAGGACTACCGTATATCGCATTGTAGTGTTGTTCTTTCATTTTTAACCAAAATTACCGCAAAATGAGCGATATAGATCTACAGGACGATTTTGCTGAAACTAGTGAGGAAAATATTTCAGATAAAGATGTGTATTTATATGTGACTAGCTGGGTCCCCTTTCGATGAAAGGAATGATTGGTGCATTAATATCAACTGAAAGTCATTGGCTTACTATATTTACACTCTACTGGAATGGAGCAACAAATCTTGAGAGAAACGGGACACACGTTTCCAAGTTGTCATATATATATATATATATATATATATATGTATAGATTGATTCTCTGTTCTGCTTTTGTGGTTGTACACTCCAGAATTTCCAAGGTTTGGAATAGTACTGACTGGCGCACGGCTATTGAACGGAAACCTCACTTGTTTACAATAGCGTCTTAGAAGACAGACTTTCCCAAGACAAGAACTCTGAGAGGACGAAACAAAGCATTTTGGAAAAATTGGGGAAAGCAGTTTACGTGGATTTTTGAAAGTTAGGTCTAGCCACATGGATGCTGTGGGCGCCTGCAACGTTTCAAAGGTGTGGGTTAGGTAATAAGGGAGGAGCTCGTGCACAAAGCCTGCCAAGTCCACTTGTATAATATATATATATAGATTTTTGTTGAATGTCTTTTGAACGGATGTCAGCTGCGTACAAGGCCCTGAGGCTCTGTTAGGGATTTGGTAAAAAAACTGAAAAAGGTTTGGGATACTGCTTGGGGGCGAAAAAACATTTTTTTAAAGGATTTTTTTGAGAGTTATATGAGCATCTAGATCAAGAACAGATGATCAGTGTTGAATCCAAACACCCCTATAACTCAAACCTAAACGAAATGAAAAGGGACGAAACTAAAAAAAACAAGTGAGAACAATATGAGGAGTATTCTCACCCTGGACACCAAAATCTAATACTTGGGTGTCAGACAATTCGTTGCGATTGTACTTACTCAACTTAATTGTAGTCTAGAACTATCACGGGCACTCCTGTACAATTGCAGTCCCGTTTGCACTAAATCACACTAGCACTGAGTACTAGGTATCGATACTGACTTAAACAGTTGGCGATTGTTAAGATTCCCGCGTTTAATTCCAAATTGTGTTTTTCATAGCCTCAGGCATGTTTCGCTTTGGTCCCTAACCCAAATCCTGACCTTAACCCTAACCCTGAGAAACGCAAATCGGAATTAAACGTGGGAATCTTAACAATCGAATGCTTTACCAGCAGACCTAGATCTAGCCTACAAAATGAGCAGTAAAATTTCACTTTTGTTTTAAACAAGGCAAGGGGGATTTCAGGGGGGAAAGTGAATTTGACTTTAATTTGATATTTTGCAATTAAGTTTGATAGGCGCTGTGTCTCCATATCAGCAGGCACATCAAAAAAGTAATCGTTTAGTTTTGAACCAGAAAGTCTGATCGTCCGTGGGGTCAAAACTAGTATCCCCAAACGGGACCGCAATTGTACAGGAGTACCCTATCATGCGCTTTAACTTTAGGAAGTGGCTATCCTCACCCCGAGTGAGAATAAAAATACGATCAACCTCTCACCCCGCGTAAGACTTGCCAGCGTTGGCTATTCTCAACCGGTGTGAAACAAGACCTGTTTTTCCTAATTTCGGAATACTGTCTATCGGTGTGAATGATCAAATTGACAAAAGCAAAGAAAAAAATGACGTAGCTCAAAAGTAAGCTAATTTGATCATCTACAAAGATGCTATGGTTATTTCACTTTTCGAATCGAGCCGAACTACGGGGGTCGCCATTTTGTTTTGCCCGGAAGTTCTCACAAGATCTACTCCTCCCCCCCCCTCTCTCTCTCTCTCTGTCTCTTTCTGAATACTGTCTATCGGTGAGGACGATCAAATTGACCTACACAAAGTTAAAAAATGATGTTAAAACACAAAAAAGTAAATTAATTTGGTCGTCTACAAAGATGCCACGGCTATTTAACTTTTCGAATCGAGCCGAACAGCACGGGTCGCCATTTTGTTTTGCCCGGAAGTTCTCGCGCTACTCCTCTCTCTCTCTTTCTCTCTCTCACCACTGCCCACAGACAAAATTACACGCTTTTAGGCTAACAGTAGTAACGCAAGGGCACTGGAACGTTTGATCACGACACAGAATTCTACAATTCTGTTATCACAGTGTAGAATTCTGTGGTTCACGGTGAACGCTGAACTGGTTTGCC